CTTGAAATCAATGAGTACAATGGCTCTAGTGGTGGATTCAACGATATTAATTTCGCTTTACCATTTGCGCAACACAATGCATTGGCTTCGTTTTTGTATTTTAATGCTTTACAATGTGAGCAAACCGAGTTCACAGAACCAATGACAACACATTGGTACATCGTCAATTGACACATCGTAACTGAAAGCAGCTCGATTCATACTTGCGCGATTATTTGTTGAAAGTCGTGATCGCGCTTCACGTGTTTGCGATATCCTAATTCTTTCATGTTCATTTCGGTCGTCATGTCTTGTGCAATACGATTAGATCGGTAATTAGCTTGGCTTGTAGCGTATCGTGTTCTTCTACTTAAATTGCCTCGTCTTATAGGAGGCATTATTAAAATATTGTGTCACATGCAATAACTTTTTATTCATAGGTAGATAACAAAACACTACCTACAAAACAAAAGCACACTCAGTAGAGTACAACAGAAAATGCAAGAAAAACATCACCGGCAAGGGCGGTAAATGGACATTGACATTGATTTTTTTAATATTATATGGCTTGAAGTCAAATTCTTTAAAGCCGCACTAATTTTGTCGCCTGCCGAAAGTAAAACATATAAAATAATATCGAGAAGCCGACTACGATTATTTGTATTAGTTAGAAATGGACTGTTTTTAGGGTTTTCCCTACGATTATTCGATTTTTTCTCGCAATGTTCTTCGTAAGAACCATCCTTGGACATCAATAAACATTTAAAAAAAAGAACTGGCCAAATTGGTCGAGGCATTGTTGAGTTATGCGCTTACCAACACTTTTTGCGATCCATTTTTAGATATAAGATATATATATATATATATATATATATATATATATATATATTTGTTGTGCACCCTTGAGCTAACAACAATTATGTTGAGATCCCAACACTGGTACCAAATGTTGTGGATTCGCCGTTGCCAACAATTATGTTGCGTCACGCCAACGATGTCAACATTTATAATTAGGTTCTTCTGCTGCTAACGCTTTTATCACAAACATTTGAAGACGTTTATTAACTTTATTTACTTCATTATTCGGTTACACTTAATTACAACTTAATACACAATTAATATATTGGAATGAAGACTGATGTGAACTGTTTAGAAAGTAAGCTATGAATGAACGCTGATCTCGTCATCCTCAGGCTTTTAGAAAATGTTCGTTATGCATGATTCAACTTGTTTATTTTAGACGCAATTTGTGGTTTTGACGTCGAAGAAACCGTTATTCTGACATGCATACAATGTTGCAAGCTTATCTCTGATACAATTTATGAGCTGTGAGTCAACAACGTCTATATTGCGTCTTTCATATTGACTGTTATATAGAATTTATAATATTATTTATAATTATTGCAAAGGGGTGGATGGCACTACACCTCACCCGCCAAGAAAAGCGCGCCCTCGTGCGTTCATAAAAAAAAAGCATTTCGGGTGCTTCAAAAAAATGTTTGCACTCATGCTATTACATTGTATAGAGACTTGTATAGATTTCTTGTAATTACTTGTTTGGATATAATTAATATAATGCTGAAGTTCATATAACATTTCAAATACATTTTTTTTCTTCATGAAATTTCGAAAAAATTCAAAAAAAATGTTAATAAAAAAAAATTCAAACGCTTTATTTACTGTAGAACAATATCATGAATTTACAATTAAGCATAATTCTATATTAATGATAATATTTTTCAAAATTTTATGATTACAGTTGAGTTATATAATATCTATATAATATTTCAAAATATAAAATTTCATTGGTTAATAATAATGTGAACAATTTTACAATAATAATCATGACTTATAATATAACAATGTTCTCTTTTTATTTAAAAAAAAAACTTTGATTTCATTTACATTGTAAATTTTAATATTTGTGAAAAAGTTTGAGAATTTTTGGTTGTGACAATTTTATTTTAATTCATTTGTTTTTAATCTCTTTCTAACATATAATTCATTTTTCCTTTGTAAACTTAAATTGTTGTCTATTTCTGACAATTGGAATTATTTATTTCATTTTCGGTTTTGTAAATTTCAATTCGCAAAAGAAAAAAAATCATTATCAGTTGGCATGTCCTTTGTCGTCGATCGGTATGATCCGTCCTGTACTACTTGTCTCAAAAACCCTGTATGCATCTTTAAATAGAGGCATCAGTTTTTTGGATTTACTTGCGTAAGGATTTTTGTCTGTTAATAACTCTAAATTGTCGATTTTAAATGTCCGTTGTGGTTTCACATACTTGTCGTAGGATTTCTTTGATTTTGTTTGTTGATAAAGATGTTTGTTAGTAGTTGTGACTATCTCTGGTTCTTCAACTTTTTTGATTACTTTGTTTGTTTGTACTTCTGAACTTTTGTTCGTAAAATCTTTGTCTGATTGCATTTTGTGCTTTTGTGAAACTTGAGGGTTGTCTAAAATTTTGTCATTCTGTTTTGTTTTGTTATTTAATATTGTTAAAATATTTTTGTCATGTGTTTCTTTGATTTGGTCTTGGTCTTTTACTTGCTGTTTTTCGTTTCTTGGGTCTCGCTCTTTGTTTGGTTTTGTGCAAAAAGTTTTGTTTTCAATTTGTAACGAGACATTTTTGTTTTTGAAATTTATTTCTTGTTTATCCGTTTTGTTTATTAAAAATTAATACGTACATGTAATAGTTTCGTTTTCTGATGAAGTTTGTTTTGGATCTTGGGTTTGGGAATTTGTGGTTTGTTGGTTTTCATCACAGTTTGACATACTGTGAGTATGTGCGTTTGTTGCATTTTCTGCATGTGTGTGCGAGTTGCATGTTTGTCTGTGTTCGTTGGTAGGGGTAATAAAAGTTTTTGACATGTTGTAATAACTTCGATTTGTATTAAAATTTCTTCGATTTGGATTTCTACACTCAAAAATTAAATGACCTTGTTTTTTACAGTAATTGCAAAATTTTTGGTTATTATTATTTGAATTAGCGTTATTCTTTTTATTTAAGAAACATTGTGGAGCAATATGACCACGTTTTTTGCAAATGTAACATGTTATATTATTATTTTGATTATTTCTGATATTTGAAGAATTTTGACAGGCTTCTTCTTGCAAAGCGAAGTCAATAGCATCTTTGATATCAGAAAATTGACAACATTTTACTAAGGTTTTTAACGGTTCTCTTAAGCCATTTTCAAAAACTTTTATACCTACTTGTTCGAATGTAATTTGTGTTGTTGTTGCATAGTCATGTCCTACTGTAATTGAGTTTGAATAATGAATTTGTCGTAAAATTTCATCAATTCTGTCTCCAAATCTTTTTACTGTTTCGTTATATTTTTGTTTCAAAATGTTCAATTCGTTTAATAAACTAGAAATGGGTCGTTTTACAACATATTCTTTAGCTAAATAACATTTTAAATCATCCCACGTTTCAAAATTAATAAATTGGATTTTTGCAAAAATTTGTGAGTCCAATTTCAATTTTATGACTGTAAGCAATTTTTCTGCTTCTGATGGATTCAAATCCTAATCCTTTTTTATTTGAATATCCTTCTGGTTCACTCGAATTCACAATCACTTGAACTTTTGTAACACTTGAACATTGATTTGTATCACTTTTTCATAACACTTGCAGAATCCCACACTGCCACCAAATTAATGTTGTGCACCCTTGAGCTAACAACAATTATGTTGAGATCCCAACACTGGTACCAAATGTTGTGGATTCGCCGTTGCCATCAATTATGTTTTGTCACGCCAACGATGTCAACATTTATAATTAGGTTCTTCTGCTGCTAACGCTTTTATCACTGCGGAAATATTTAATTAAACATTTGAAGACGTTTATTAACTTTATTTACTTCATTATACGGTTACACTTGATTACAACTTAATACACGATTAATATATTGGAATGAAGACTGATGTGAACTGTTTGGAAAGTAAGCTATGAATGAACGCTGATCTCGTCATCCTCAGGCTTTTATAACCTCTGATGATGACGTGACCATCCTTCTAGAAAATGTTCGTTATGCATGATTCAACTTATTTATTTTAGACGCAATTTGTGGTTTTGTCGTCGAAGAAACCGTTATTCTGACATGCATAATGTTGCAAGCTTATCTCTGATACAATCTATGAGCTGTGAGTCAGCAACGTATATATTGCGTCTTTCATATTGACTGTTATATAGAATTTATAATATTATTTATAATTATTGCAAAGGGGTGGGTGGCACTACAATATATATATATATATATATATATATATATATATATATATATATAAAGCGAGAGGTTTTTCTTTAGATGGTGAAATAATATGATAAAATTGTTTCTTGGGCATCCATCCAGTAATTAAAAAGTTTTATTGAAAAATGTTTTTATTTAGAGAACAAACTGTTTTTTAATTACTGGATGGATGCCCAAGAAACAATTTTATCATATATATATATATATATACACCTAAGTCTGTTTTTACACGGTCTTTTTGTACACGGTTTTGATATAACACGGTTTGAAAATTGAATATTTTTAATTTTTTTTACACGATTTTATTCCATTTAGCACGATTTGAAATTTTATTTACTTAATTTTTTTGTCAAATTTAATTTTTGCGAAGTATGTTCATATCACAAAAAAGTATTTATGAAAGAAAAAAGTCTGAAATCATCGTAGTATCGATAGTTTGCGAACACTAGCTTAAAGATTTAAGTGAATTCCCATTTAGCGCGTACAAACAATTTTTACTTTGATTTTTTTTTATTATATTTGATTTAATAAAATAAACATGAATTCTTGTTCTTAAAAATTCTTGTTGTTCACTAATTTTAATAGGTTTTAGAGATTAGGAACAAATCACCCATTTTTGTATGAGATCAATATCTTTTTTTACACGTTTTTTTTACGCGGCTTCTTCTAGAACCAATCTACCGTGTAAAAACAGACTTAGGTGTATATATATATATATATATATATATATATATATATATATGAACAATAATCTATTTTAGGTTTGATACTGGTGACAGATGCAATATCTGCCCTGGGATTGCATGAAGGAACACATAATATTGGTCAATTATCAGTACAAATTACAGGTTCACGTGCTTATATTGCAGGCACTGATACTTTATGTGGTAGTATATGTTCAATGAATGAATGCATTAAATTTTTCTTAGAAGCAACAGGTAAGTTACGTACTATACTATGTAAACATAAATATATATTTTTTAAACATATATGAATAATAATATATTTATATAAATATATTATGTGAATGTTTGATATCGTAAAATTTTGTTTGGCATCCACAAATGTTAAGCACAATTCTTATTTTGGTTATTTGACGGTTTGTGACAATCTTTTTCTTTTAAAAAATATAGTATTGCTAAAATGAAGGAACAGTTAGAATTCGCGTCTTTATCAAACAATTTAATTTACAAAGTTTTTATAAACCATTTTATTGATTTTAAATCACAATGTTTTGAATCTATTTTATTATTGATATTGGTGACAGTATCATATAATCATATGCTAAAGTCAAAATATTAAAATATCAAATTTTCACTTAACTTCATTATTTCGCTAGTTAGTTCATCGCTTGGTGTACTGAACTATCCCTTCTTATCCGTATCAAAACGTATTACGACAATGTGTAGTCAGTTATACTTTTGCTGATGATTTATTTTAGATTTTACACCATAGGTTTTCAGATTTTTTAAAAAGTAAAATTGGCCTTGACATATTATTTATATATGAATTTTTAGCTGGTGTTATTTTTTTTTTAATTTTTATAAATGTTATTTTTTTATAGTTGAATATCTTTCAGGAGTAAAAATGTTGTTAGGAATCAAAACACATGAAATTTTTGATAGAGTAGATAATTGATTTAATCTACAATAATTTGATTTATATATGATCTCTCTATCTATCTATCTACTTGTTTAATACTTACCTTCGTACCATTCTAGCGGTCCACCATTCTACTGGTCCACCTGGCTACCTTTCTTGTTGTCTACCTATCCTCTTAGTTACCTGTTTTATTGTCTATCCCTCTACCTGCCCACCTGTCTTTCTGTTTACTTCTACGTACATTTTGACCTGTTATCTATTCACATGTTTCACCGTTTTTTATCTGTTATAATTTTTTTGTATCTATCGATCTGTATACCTATTAACATGTTTATTTACTAGTCTATCCGTCTACCGGCCTTCCTACCTATCCGTCTATCTTTTTATCTGTTCAACAATTTACCTATAGATGTTTCTATTTTCCTACATATCTACCTACGGTATACTATACACCTGTCTACCTATACATTTATACTTTTGTCTACATGTGCACCCGTTTGCTTATCTACTAGCATAATTATCTACATGTGTACCTGCCAGTCTGTTCACATGTCTACCTGTCTAACCGCATACTGACCATCTGTTTACCTGTGTATCATTTTTTTCTATCTGTCTTTACGGAGCATCCGATAAGAACTATTTAAAAAATCTTCGATTCGTATTGACGGGGGGATGTGCTGATTAGTTTTTTTCATAGACAATGTTTCTGAGATAAAAAGCAAGTAGTTGAAAATAGCATTTTGCCTTAAGGCAAGTAGCATAAATTTAATGAAATGTCTAATAGTTAACTTCAACTAACAATGAAGTTAACGTTAGCAATAAAAGTTATTTTTGTATTATTGTTTACTATGGAGAATATATTCAGAAGATACTCATTTTTGTCATCTATTGTATTTAACAAAAATATTTCACCTAAACTTTTTGAATTCAAAACTCTGAAAAGATTTAAGATGAAATAAAATAAAATATAATATAATTGTTTTAGAAAAACGATTACCATTTCACTATCTTCGAGTGTAGTGAATTTATTTATTATATCAATTATTTGTTAGCCTCATTTTCTATTTAGGGCCTTGGATCAGTCAGAATCGTTTTGATTAAATTTTTTACATGTGATACATTTACGCTTTTATTGTATTTTTTCACAATTTTGTTTATTTGATTGTCATATGTGATTTCTTCATCTTTGAAAATAATTATGATAAATTAGGAGGAATAGTACAAAATGAGAATTATATTTTAGACCTAAAACTAAAAACTTTTCAATCGAAAAAAATGAAATTTTTAAGTAACAGTTCTCAAAAGCAATTTCAATGGAATTATTTCATCGATCTGTAATTAATTTTACAATAAAAATATTGAATAATTCAGTTTATGTATGAAATCTAAAACTGCTATTTACTTACTCATTATACTTCTTTATTTTGTACATAATTCTATCAATTTGCTCGAAGATTTCACACTCACATATTTAAAGCCAAAAGTTTTTGCTAAACATTGATATTTCCAATTAATATCTCTCGAACACTTTCTGTATCTGTGATTAATTATAGTGTACAGACACGTGTGCTTGTATGTTCTTAAAATGTAGTTTATTATTACAATGCTGGTTAATTTATCTAGTTCAACCAACTTTTGCAGAACTGTTTAGTGCGTGAACTTTATCGCCAAAATAACGCTAATATTTTTTTCAAATGTTGATGATCTTTTAAAATAAAATGGCTTGTTGGTGTACCTAATATTTTAGTATGTTCAATAAGACCATGAAATGTATTGTCGTAAAAAGTTTCAGAAAAATTGTCAAAACTTTTTTTTTAACTGTTAATATCATTCCCAACCAATATCTTTCAAAAAGTTTTTTAATTTTTTAAAATCGATTCAGGATTGTTAGCTAAAACGTAGATCAAAAATTTCAAACTTTTTGCAATCATCGCACAAAACTGAGAAATGATAGTTCTCGTTAAGATACATCGAATGACTTTTAAATTTTTGAAATCGGTTCAGCGTTTTTGAGAAAACGTCGATACACACTTTTTTCAAATTTGGTCAGAAAATTCGATTCAGAAAGGCTTGAAACAATGAGAAAACATAAAATTAGAAAAACGGATATTTTATGAAAATATAAACTTCTGCGTTAAGTTTTTTTCGCCAAATGGTTATTTTTCCCCCCTTTTTTATTATATCCCTGAAATTGTTAGACCTGCCTAGCCAAAAATTTCTGAGTTTTTCATTTCATAAATACAAATAAAATGTTTTTTTTTTTGAATCATCCAAATCGGACGCTTCGTTCTCTCAAAAATTTAATTGCCATTTTTCAACTTTTTGCCGCATATCGAACTTATCAATTTTCAAATTCATTTCTAGTTTATCTATTAAACATTTAAAGGGGTATTCTAGTGTAGAAATTTCAATTCAAACGTTTACTATTCAAGAATATGTGTATATGAGAACTTTTTAAAATTTCAATTATTTTCGAAGAAATGGCTATTTAACCATGATAATCTTTTCCTGTTTGCTTCCTTTGTCGAAATTTTAAATGGGTTTTCTCCATAATGTCTTTCTCAACACGGTGTCTACGTTTTCTGCTGCTGGACCCATTTACTTGAAATTTTCAGAGAATCTTCTTTTCAGACTACTCTCATTCGGCAGATACTAGCATTATACCCAAATTTCAATTTTATCAAGCGAATTGTTTTGAATGATTCAAAAACCATTTTATTAGTTTTTGGACAAGGCAGGACCAGCCGTTTCGAAGATACGGGGCGAAAATTGTCAAAAATGGTAACTCAGTTTTCGAGAGAACGGAGAGTTTAATTTTAATAATTAACTTCCCGTAGGGTAAGTTATAGTAATCGCAAAAAATCGACACACATCCCACAGTTGCTGCCAGCGGTCAATGCTCTTCTGCCGTTCTTCTATTCTCAACTTTTCAGGACTCAGTTTTTGATATCTTTGATGGTATATTGTCCGTCTTGCCTCTGCTAAGATTATGAGAGGCAGAGTTTCTGAAATGACACATACTGCTTTCTCCGATATTGTGCGAAATGCCTAAATTGTCTATCTTGCCTCTGCTAAGATTAGTAGAGGCAGAGTTCCTGAAATGACACACACTGCTTTCTCCGATATTGTGCGAAATGCGCAAGCAATTCATAAAGCACTCAGACGATATATAGGTCCTGCCATTCTCCTCGATTTTTTGAGTTTTGAGAGCATCAGCCCATACGGTGATGCCATATGTAAGCACCGAAGTAACCATTGTTGATAGTAATATCTTTCTGGTTTGTTTAGAACCTCCAACATCAGTCGAGCAAGTCTCGTCCTAACTATTGACGCCTTAGCACTAACGTGTTTCACCTGTTGGTTGAAATTCAGTCGAGCATCAAGCATTACGCCGAGGTTTTGAAGTGATCTCTAGATTTCCTATCTTTAGCTTGATGGTCTCTATTGTTTTTCTGCTCGTGATAAGAACAGCTTCACTTTTTTGTTGTGCTAATTGGAGGTTTATTGTTCCCATCCAGCGATTAATTTTTCTAAAAGTTATGTAAAATAGACTCACAATCTCATAAATTTGTTTGGAGTTTAGTTTCATACATGCTGGAATCTCAAGTCTCAAAAGGCCATCATACATAGTATTCCACAGCAAAGGGAACAGAGCCCTGAGGCACACCTCCTGTTATATTAAATTCTTCTGTACTATCGCGTGAATCGTACGTTAGAATACTCTCTGTAAAGAAGCTTGCGACTACATTGCAGAGGTATACTGGCACCTTCTTGTCACTGAGTGCATTCATGATGCAATCTCAGTTTGCAGATTGGCTCCAAGACAGTACTTCCTCACACCCACCTTCCATGTGGTCCCAGAAATTGTTTCCTTGGCGGTATTAACCAAGTTTATAGCAGCGATAGTTGATCGCCCTTTGCGTTATTTGTGTGTGTGTGATACAAATTTTAGTCGACGATTTCGGGAACACGGTTCAATCGATTTCAATTATTCAAAAAACATTCAATTGCTGTTGATAAGGAGACGTGCTGATTAGTTTTTGGCATAAGCAGGTCTAGCCATTTCGAAGATACGGGGCAAAAATTGCCACAAACGAAAATTTAGTTTTTAAAAGAACGGAGCGTCCGATTTGAGTAATACAAAGAACATTTTACTTATATTGACAAGATGAAGAATTGGTAAAATTTTCATAACGACAGGTCGAGCGATTTCGGAGATCTGGTGAAAAATTGAAAATAAATGCCATTTGGCGCCATTGTCAATTTATCCTAGATGATTATTTTACATTTTCGCAAAACTTTCGCCATTCCTGATTTCTTCTTTATGTTGCACATT